GAGCCAAAGCGGCCGGTAAAGGTGGCTACTTGAGCGACGGTGACTCCCCGGAGCTGCCGGCTAAAGCCGGGGCGCGTGCCGAACCGGAGGATGGAGAAAACGGGCTGGACGTGGGCGCTTTCCGCCCCTACAGCTGCGGGGAGACGCCGCCGCGGTGCGGGCAACACATTTCGGGTTTGGTGAGCGTTCACCTCCATGGCGTGCGGGACCTGAAGCCGCCGCGGGCCGAAGCCCGGGAGGTTTTTTGCGTGTTGCAGGTGGACGCGGCCAACCGGGCTCGCACGGCTTTGCTACCGTGCAAGACGGCGTTCCTCGGCCTCAACCATACCTTCAACCTGGAGCTGGAGGGTGCCCGGCACCTCAAGGTGATCATCTTCTCCTGGGATCCCACCTCCTGCCGCAACCGTCTCTGCTGCCACGGCACCGTGGTCCTGCCCCACATCTTCAGAGGTACGGCCGGGTGATGGGGTCGGTTTGGGGTTTGGCATCTCGGCACCCCGTTGACGGCACCGCTCGGCTCTGCAGGTTGCCGGGCCCAGCAGTTGGCGGTGCGGCTGCAACCTCGTGGCGTCCTCTACTCCAAATTCACCTTGGTGGAGCAATGGGACAGTCCCAGTGAGCGGGAACCCCGTGTCTTCGGCGTGGAACTGGGCCAACTGGTGGAGAGGGAGAAGTCGGCCACCAAGGTGCCCCTGCTCATCCAGAAATGCGTGGCTGAGATAGAGAAACGAGGGCTGAAGGTGAGCGGGGACTTACGGTGACAGCTACAAGGGGGGTGGCGGTGGATGAACCCCCCCCAAACCGCGGTGACGGCGTCCCCGTTTGCAGGTGGTGGGGTTGTACCGGCTCTGCGGCTCGGCCGCCGTCAAGAAGGAGCTTCGCGACGCCTTTGAGAGGGACAGCGCGGCCGTGACGCTCTCGGAGCAGCTCTACCCCGATATCAACGTCATCACGGGTGGGTGCTGGGCCCGGGGGGGGGGGTGTCCCCACAGGTCCCTGCGTCCCACAGCGCCGCGCTGATCTCCCCTCCGCGTCCTCTCGCCTGCAGGGATCCTCAAGGATTACCTGCGGGAGCTGCCCACGCCGCTCATCACCCCCACGCTCTACCACGTCGTCCTGGAGGCCATGGCCAAGCGACCTCCCCGGCTCCCCCCAGCAGAGCGGGACGCTGTCACCCTGCTCGACTGCCTGCCCGATGTCGAGAAGGTGGGTGCCCAGCACCAAAAAGGGGGTGCCCAGCACCGAAAAGGAGGTACCCAGCCACAGGGAGGGGGGATCCCATTGCCACTCAGCCCCGGGGTCTCCCCCCGTCCCGAGTCACCGCTGCAGCCAATCCTTATTTATCGACCTATGGGACATGGAATGGGGCATGTCTCAGTGTCACCTCCCTCTTCAGGACCCCCCCAAGCATTTTTTGGGGGGGTCTTCACATCTCCCCAGTATCTAAGCATTTATTCCCACCTCTGCATTCGCTGTGTGACTCAGCCCTGGTGACATTAGGAACCATCTGCAGCCAAACCCTTGGGGCAATTCCCCTCGGCTCTGTTTTGGGGGGGTGTGGGACAACGGGGTGGCATCAGAGGATGTCCCCACTGAGGCCACCTCGTCCCCCAGGCCACGCTGACGCGGCTCCTGGACCACCTCAGCCTGGTGGCCTCCTTCCACGATTTCAACCGCATGAACTCGCAGAACATCGCCGTCTGCTTCGGACCCGTCCTGCTCACCCAGAACCAGGAACCTCGGCGTTCCGGCACCGCTACCGGCACCGGCAACCGCAGCTACGCCCACTGCGAGGACATCGCCAGCGCCGTTGACTTCAAGAGACACATCGAGGTGCTGCACTACCTGCTGCAGGCCTGGCCGGGTGAGCGGGGTGGGGGGGGATACCTGCACCCCCTCCCACTTTGAGGGGGGCTCTTTGCACGGCCACCGCCTGGGCCACCATCGGTGGCAGCTGATCTGGGGGTCTGTGACCACCCCCCAGTGCCACCGTCCCCAGCAGCTGCTCCAGGGGGCCGTGACCCCCACGTGGCTGCTCTTGGGGGGCCCCCCAAGAGCAGCCACGTGGGGGTCACGGCCCCCTGGAGCAGCTGCTGGGGACAGGGGCCCAGGGGGAAGCCACGGGGGGGGCACGGAGCCCCTCTGGGCTTGGGGGGCCCCCAAGAGCAGCCACGTGGGGGTCACGGCCCCCTGGAGCAGCTGCTGGGGACAGGGGCCCAGGGGGAAGCCACGGGGGGGGCACGGAGCCCCTCTGGGCTTGGGGGGCCCCCAAGAGCAGCCACGTGGGGGTCACGGCCCCCTGGAGCAGCTGCTGGGGACAGGGGCCCAGGGGGAAGCCACGGGGGGGGCACGGAGCCCCTCTGGGCTTGGGGGGCCCCCAAGAGCAGCCACGTGGGGGTCACGGCCCCCTGGAGCAGCTGCTGGGGACAGGGGCCCAGGGGGAAGCCACGGGGGGGGCACGGAGCCCCTCTGGGCTTGGGGGGCCCCCAAGAGCAGCCACGTGGGGGTCACGGCCCCCTGGAGCAGCTGCTGGGGACAGGGGCCCAGGGGGAAGCCACGGGGGGGGCACGGAGCCCCTCTGGGCTTGGGGGGCCCCCAAGAGCAGCCACGTGGGGGTCACGGCCCCCTGGAGCAGCTGCTGGGGACAGGGGCCCAGGGGGAAGCCACGGGGGGGGCACGGAGCCCCTCTGGGCTTGGGGGGCCCCCAAGAGCAGCCACGTGGGGGTCACGGCCCCCTGGAGCAGCTGCTGGGGACAGGGGCCCAGGGGGAAGCCACGGGGGGGGCACGGAGCCCCTCTGGGCTTGGGGGGCCCCCAAGAGCAGCCACGTGGGGGTCACGGCCCCCTGGAGCAGCTGCTGGGGACAGGGGCCCAGGGGGAAGCCACGGGGGGGGCACGGAGCCCCTCTGGGCTTGGGGGGCCCCCCAAGCCCAGAGGGGCTCCGTGCCCCCCCCGTGGCTTCCCCCTGGGCCCCTGTCCCCAGCAGCTGCTCCAGGGGGCCATGACCCCCCCATTGCTGCCATGGGGCACCCCCCCCATCCCCAGTGGCTGGACTGGGGCCCCCCCCATCTCCAGCAAAAGGTGGGGCCCCCCTATTTTTCCGGCAGCTGGTCCATGGCCCCCCACATCCAACAGCTCTCATGGGGTCCCCCTATTTCTTGCTGTGCCCTCCACCACCTCCAGTAATGGGGTCCCCCCCCATTCCCAGCAAAAGCTCCGTAGCCCCCCCATTTTCCCAACACCCCCCCCCCAACACCAGCAAACCCCCGGTGACACCCCCACCTTTACCACTCTCCCTGCAGCCCCCCGCTCAGCACCAGCCCCCCAACTTCAGGAGGGGGCACAGCCCGGTTGCCCGCAGCACCAACGGGGGCCACCGCTGCGACTGGACCTGCTGGAGAGCGCGGTGGTGGCCCGTCACCGTCCCCGAGGACCGGAGAGCCCCCCCAGCAACCGCTACGCCGGCGACTGGAGCATCTGCGACCACCAGTTCCTACTGGTACCCGGCACAGTCGGCGATGCCGACTACGACGAGGTGGCAGCCGGTGATGGTGAAACCGGGGTGCCGGCGCGGCTGTCCCCGCACCGGCGGACCCTCTTCGTGGCCGATTTTGCCCTCGGCGAGGAACCCGAGGCGCCCTTCGGCCCCCGCCTCAACCTCAAGGACTTCGACGCGCTCATCCTCGACCTCGAGCGGGAGCTCGCCAAGCAGATCAACGTCTGCCTGTGAGACCGGCACCAGCGCCGGTACCGATGCCAATGCCGATACCGGCACCAATGCCAACGCTGGTACTGATGCCAATACCGGTGCCAATGACGATAACTGGTGCTAATGACAACACCAGTGCCAACATCGACACCAGTACCCGTGCCAACACCGGTAACGATGCCAACACCGATGCCAATGTCAACACCAGTACCGATGCTGACGCCAGTGCTGATGCCGTCACCGGTGCGAGAGCGACCAAAAAGCAGCACTTGCCTCTAGTTGCCTTCGATTTGCACAGCGCCGAGCAGGAGGGACCCCGACGGTGAGGCTTGTGCCGCCTTCGGTGAGGTAGGGGCTCCCCCAAAACAGCCCCGGCTCCGGTTTCTGACCCCCCTGGTGTTTTTTGGGGGGGCAGAGGAGGGATGCGGGGCTCGGTGCCTCTTACTCGGCTTTTTTTTTTATTTTATATGGCCAAATTTTGCCCTCAAGTGCCTGTTCGCCCCCTTTTCCCTTCCCTGGTGGCCCCCCCAAACCAAACAGTATTAGGAAATATTGACAAGGGTCCATGACCTCCATCGCTCAGGCTGGTGGGGGGCTGCCCCCCCAAACCCCCTTCCCCGCTGCGTCTGCACCCCAAAAAGGCCGATGGGGCTCCCTCCTGCCACCCACGC